AATATTCGGGAGGGTAACTTACTCGCAATTGCGAGTTCTTATATTTTTTTAATTACTTCTTATTTAAAGTACAAAAATAACTAATGAACAACAGGGCTAACAAGAGCCGATGCGGATAATCAGAAGCAAATTTTGTAGATTTTTTAATCTATAAAATTTGCGCTTGATTATCCACACTGACTCTCATTAGCCTTGTATTTGTTAATTTTTTGTATGAAAAATCTGTTTTAATTATTATTATTTATTATTTACTCATTTATTTTTAATATAATTAGATAAATTTATCAGTACGCAATAGGACATGGTTAGGCGTTAGCTGTGTTCAGTAGAGAAAGCAGCTTTGCAACTGTTGTAAAATTTTTCAATATAATTGACTTATACATTTAAATCCATAAGGAACCAAAAGCAAAAACCAATCATATTGAAGAATTTTATAACATTTGCAAAGCTGTTTTCTCTGCTGAACACAGCCATTAACATATTATATTCGCGGTGTTATTACACATTATGAAATAATATAGGTACGAGCGCGGGTAAAAATAGAATAGGCACGAATAAATGAAAATACAAGTAGGTAGGACAAGTATGGATAGGTAGGGATAAATTATTTAAAATTAAAAAATTAAGTTATTACAAATAAAATGTATTGATATATAAATGACACTTAAATACATTTCGCGGTTGGGTAATTAAATTTTATTTTAAAAATAAAAAATAAGTATAATGAATCTAAAAAACATTATACAATAAATCTAACTAGTAAATTATGTGACATGTAGGTAGGGATACATAGACATTATATGTACATATTTCATAATTGGAAATAAGGGATTGAAAATTAAATAAAATTTTAAATTAATTTTAAATGTTATTTAATTATCAGTATCCGGTTTCCAATTATCAAAATCATAAAAATAAACCATATGATATATAATTTTGAATTTCATTGAATTTTCAGTTCCCCTGAAATTAAACTTAATCTCTTATAAAATTCTGTACATATACAAAGTGTATAACGCGTTAATATTGTAATTAATTTTGTTATAAATAAATGTATGTATAATAGTACGTAATATAATATTAGTACGTAATAAAATTTATGTAAACTATGTCCAGGTAAATGCCATCATATTTACTTTTGTAATTTGCGCAAAAATTACTATTGGATTTATTACTATTGGAATTATATTGGAATGTTTATAATCATATTGAATATATCTATTCAATACATGTAGCATTTATCTTGTCGTAGTAAATCAAATTCATTGTTGCTTTATTGATGTAAATTACGCCAAATTGACGAAACATATGATAACAAACATTGTTGATTGATTTAACGAATTTGATAAATATTTAATTTTAAAACTTTTTTTTAATTTGGATTTTATTTTTAATATTAAAAAATCATTAATAATTTTGATTAACTTCTAATTAGAAATTTGCTGTCTAGAATCGTTAATTTTTCTTTTTTTAGTATACAAATTTATTAGATAAGTCAATAAAGATTGGAGCTTTGACTGAGGCAATGGATGGCTAAATATTCTTGTTTGCTTTTTGACATTTATATTTTTAACATTCAGAATTACAAGTACATCTTAGTGATTGATTTGTTATATACAAAGAAGAACTCATCGTTGTCCCTCGTGTCAGATATATGCCAGTGAAGGCGTAATTTGTATCGATGGAAAGTCGTATAATTATTTTCATCATGAAGATTTATTTCTCGCTTTCCGTAAAGTTCATTCGCAAGTCTAGTTTGGTATTCGTACGAGATTTTTGTACAGAATTAATCTTGGGTTTTCTCGTTAATTCCTGAAAATAATCTTTTTACTTTTAATGATTTCATTACAATTGCTATATATTTTAAAATCAAGTTGCGAAATTAATTTAGTGGTATATTTTAGAGTTTTCATAATTTTTATCGCTTTCTTAATTTTACTAAATGTCCACTAGTAATAATGTTAATAATAGACTGTCTTAATGGCAACAAGAATTTAGTATTGAATGATTAATATAGATATATAATGATTATTTGTATAAATTTAAATTATGAAGTAAATAAATTTAAGTTTTATACAAATAATTTGTTATTTTTTTATGATTGCTTTAACAAAAATATGATTACGAAAGTGTATATTTAATTTACTAACTGTTATTTTAAAAATGATTTTTAGGTATTGGACATCCCGCTATTCTAGAATATTAGGATTAATTATTAATATATGTTTCTCTATAATAAAATACATGCAGATATTATGAGATTACATTTAACAAATTTTGATCTTTGTCGATTTGGATAATTTTTACCAAAATATTTTATATTTTTTTAACAATGTATCGTGATTATATAAATTTAATTAAAAATGTGTGAGTACAAAAAAATTCGAGGTAAGTCGAATAGATACCCTCATATTAGCGGGATATTAATAATTAAAATTTTTGAAACATACAAAAAAATAAGGAATTGTTAAATTTTATATAATATATTTATCAGTATAAATATTCTTTAAAAATCCCGCTATTATCGGGTTCGGCTTACATACTCGAACAGTTGGTACCCGAGAAGCTTTTGTACTCATACATATAAAAAGTTACAACAATGCATGTATTTTATTATTATTAAATATATTCTTTCGTAATGACTATTCCATAAGAAAATCATTCTATCCATTTATTTTTAATAAGCGATAATTTTTAGTAATGTGTGGCAGAACATATTTTCTTGCGAATTTTAATATTATATTTAAGATGCAATAAAAATGTTAATTGTAATTAACATTGTACCAAAATTATTATTATCGTAAGTGATTTGAAAGATTTGGAATTTACATCCTCTTGTAACAAGATCACTGGTGTTTGACGGATTGCTTAACTTTTCTTTGCGAATGAATCTTATGGATTTGACGTAGAATCAGAGTATATTAAGTTTACTCTTCATTATGAAGATTGTTCTTCTTTGTATCTGATGCTAATTAGCATATCACAAAGCTGAGATGACTTTGATGTGATTAAATTATTAGGATAGTTATTTTGAACACGATGAAAGTGCTGTCGTAAATATATTAATGACTTTTTATCGCAATATTAATGAGTTTTATAATCGCAAATTAATAATTGATAGTAAATACAATATTTATAATTGTACATTATATTGTAAACAATTATTATTATATTATTAAATGTATAAAGGATTACAATAAAAGGTAACATTAAAAAAGTTATGCTATATGATTGCTAATTATTTTAGTGTATTTTGCTAATACAATATAATTAACAAAATACAATAAAATAATTCGACATAAAAATAAAAAATAAATTTAAAATATACTTACCTGTAAAAACGGACTACTGAATTTATTAGTAGCTCGTTTTTTACGAGTGAGTATATTTATAAAGAAAAGAGGACCGCCGATAAAATCGACGGGGGTAGTGGAGGGCCTCTTGTACAAGTTGATTCGTTTTTATATATTTAAATTTTTTTACAACTTTAAATTAAATGTAATTTGCTTACAATTAGAATTCTAGCTTTATTCAAATTGTAAATGCAATATAATAAAGTAGTGCATTGATTGGTCCGCCATGTTTCAGAAATTCCCGTGCTATATTTGAATCTATATTTGTATTTTCTTTTTAATTTCAACAATATAATTAAAATTAGATATTTTAAAATTAATAAATAAATTTCTTATATTACCTTTGAATCATGAAAGCTCGGCTTTGTTGTAAGTGACGATACAAAGCAGAGTTTCTTATAGGATATCACTTGTCACTCATCTCTCATCGCATTCAGTGTGCATTAAGATCGAAATTCATTTCAGTATTCAGTCGATTCGTATTTTAAGACTATCTTAAGTAATGTCCTAAGATGCTAATACGGCTATCTAATTGGTTCATGACATCTTAAGATACTTAAGACGATCTTAAATATAAGATCTGAGTATGAATACAGACAGAGAGAAACCTGAATCTCTATTAATTTGATAGATTTTAATTATTTTAGTGATTTTAGCAATTTATATCTATTAGCAGCATCGCAAAAATGGATATTGTTGTGTAGTTTACATACATTTCTTCAGAGAACAGTAATATGCGGCGGCGTTTTGCGATTATAGGAAAAAGGCCCTCATGTCATCTCTCAGGTTTTTCTGATAAGGCTCTGCGCACAATAGAAGGAATAAGGAATTAGGAATAAAGAATAAACGATTCTAACGATTATCGGAAATCGGATACATCGGAATACGCGGTTTCTGATAGATTGAAATCGTTTATTCTTTATTAGGCAGGGCCTTAAATCATCAATCATTCATTAAGCAGCCATTTTTAATACACAGAAATAAATTCATCATTGGTTGCTAATCACATGATTGCAATGATCAATCAGAACACTTAACACCAATCGCGCTTTTCTTATAAATCTAGGACTTTAAGGGAGCATTTATATTGGTCATAATCGTATGCCATATGCCGTAATCTCTAAGAATTGACTAATCACAATCAAGTATTCTTTTCTCATTCGGCGATAAGAAGGAAATATTCGAAGATAATTGGTCAATTTTTTACAGATTACGGTATATGGCATATGGTTAGCCAATATAAACACTCCTTTAGTTGTGTTGAGAGTGGGTGTATCTAAAGCCCGATGTCTACGATGCTAGAAATCGGTCTGAGATCTCGAACAAAGAAAAAAATTAACAAATCACAATTGATTTAAACAATTTGATCACATCGCGATTGGTCAATTCTTTCTTCATTCGAGGTCTCGGACCATTTCTAACGTGGACATAAAGCTTAAGGCTTGTTTAGGTTCCTACCCGGTGTTCTCCGGGTATCATGTCATCCTTGTTTAACATTAATAAATAACAAAGATAAAATGATATCTTGGTGGCACTCGGATGGAAATCTGAATATAGCCCTAGATACACTCACTCTCAGATTTCTTTCTGTTGATACTGAGGGAAACTAGGGAAATAATCATATCGTGGTTGGCTGTCATGATCACTGTTCACTTCCCAATTCCCGCTTAATTTTTTTGTCAGTTCGGGAATATTCACTCCGTTAGAGTAGTGTAGTGTGGTGGCAACCAGGTGCAACTAAGAATAATTCGATACTATTCACGGTGTCAGAACAGTTACGAGAATTTCAACCGATCGCGATGCAAGACACAAAGAGATTACAGGAGTTTATGGAGTTGGTCGGTCGGCTGAAGGTAAGCTTCAAGATGATGTGCTCGCAGCTGTCAAATCATAATATATTATACATTTATATGTTTCCCAAGTGACCTGGAATCACTAGACAAAAGAATATACTATGCAAAATGGCTTTGACAAGAACAGTAATTTCTAAAATTTTTTTCTGAAATAGAATATTGTAAAAAAGAGAGGGGAAAAAGGAAAAGAGAATGGTATTAAATTAAAAAAATAAAAGAGGGAAAGACAGATACTTATGTAAGAAGACGTCTTTTATTGTTGCTAACCTTTGCCTGTGTCGACCTATGATCAATGAGATTACTTTTTTTTTTAAATATAATTATATAATATCAACACTAATTTATAAACATGGAGCGGTATTCATAGTCCATTTTTACTTTAAATCATCTCTTGAGTAACATCTTAAGATACTAATAATAATACAGCTGTCTAGAATATTTAATAGTCTATTCTTATTTTAAGACTGTTTTAAGTAATATATAAAGATGCTAATGCAGCTCTCCTATTGACTTAGTCTCAAATATAAGAATCGGCCATGAATATTGGCCGAAATTGCAATAAGAAAAGTATAACTTTTTTTCTGACAATTTTGATTGTCAGAAATTGATTATGTTTGAAATATTACTTCGTATTTTTATTTTGACATGTTAAGTTGATCTGAATCTTAACACAAGGATATAGAAATAACTTAAAAAAAAAAAGAGAAATAAAGAAACATGTTGATATATAACATGGTATTTAAGAAATTTCTTATGTTTTTGACCTTATAGATATATGAAATTATATATATTTGACCTTTGCATAAACTAAGGATAATAAGCAATTTATACTCATTGTTTTGCATAATAAATATTGTTCTTTGTACGTTGGAAATTAGTATAAAAAAATATTTTTGTCTTTTATTTTAATGGTGAAAATGTATCTAGAAGTCATTGGAAATCTTTTAAACCAAAACATTTTTCTGAATATATAAGCTTAATTGAGAATTAGAATTAGAAATGCGCAACATAAAGTCAAAAATTGAAAAGAAAACAGGAAACTCATTAGTATTAGCATTAATAGAATATTATATTTTTAATTTCTTTATTTGTATGTTTGATATTGTGCTGATTCATGAGTGTTTTGATAATATGAATCAATTATGATACAATTTCTTTTGTTTAAAATTGCATCTTGATAAATATCATGCAATCAAATGGATATGTTAGATTAAATGGAATTGTTAGATATGTTGTTGAATCAACATCTTGAATTCTACAACAATGTCTTTGTTTGATCATTTATGGTTTTTTATATTTTACTTATCTAGATATGAGGTTCTAATTTTTGAATTTCAAAATAGCATATTTATGATGCAAAAAAGTAAGATTAAACAATTTTTTTTAAACCTCAAAATTATACTATTTTTAAAGACTTTAAGAAATAATAAAGTCATAAAAGAATTCATAAAAGTTAAGAAAAAATAATATTGGATAAGAAATCTGTATCATCTTCTATATTATTTTTATCGCAAACAAAAGAATTATGATAACGTTATATAATGTGTAATATTTTCTAATCAATATGCTTTCCTTTATATTATTTTTTATGTTAAGAAATTTCTTTGAAATTAAAAATAATAAATCTATATATATATTATTATATTCATAAATTTAAGAATTTTATTTAAGTATGTTTTCGATCGTAATATATTCCAGCATATGAAAAGGACGGGATGGGTAAAACGGAATATATCTGATCCTGAAACAATTGCTGGACACATGTACCGTATGGCAATGTTATCGTTCCTAGTGGACGGAAAAGAAAAATTAGATAAAATCAAGTGAGACTTTATTATTATAGTATTTCGTAACTTGAAATTTTATATTATTATTTTTATAAAATTAAATAATTTATTTACATGATATTGATATATATCATGTAAATATTGGTAATTTATGTATCTATACATATTTTCCGGTTTGCAGAATAATGCAGATGACATTAATTCATGACCTAGCTGAATGTATTGTGGGAGACATAACACCTTATTGTGGCATACCACCAGATGAAAAACATAGAATGGAAGATGAAGCTATGGAAGACATTTGCAAGCTGCTAGGTGATAAGGGACCTGAAATATTACAAATATTTCGTGTAAGAATATTCTCATATAATTCTGATTTTTTAATATTAACGTTTATTAATATTCATTAATATTTTATTTGTTTTAAAAAACATTTAGGAATATGAAAAGCAGGAATCTCCTGAAGCGCAGTATGTTAAAGACTTAGATAGATTAGATTTGCTGATGCAAGCATACGAATATGAAAAAAGGGACAACATTCCGGGAGAACTGAACGAATTCTTTGTCGCGATTAATGGCAAGATTAGACATCCTGTTATCAATAAAATCGCTATTGACATCACCGAGGAGAGGGACAAGTTTTGTCGTAATATAAATGTCTCGAAATAGCAAAAGGTATAATCCAAGAACAAAGCTGGAAGGACAAGAGCTTCCAGATAGCTCAAATGATATTTTAATCGTTACCATGTCACGCGCTATTAAACAATGGCTATTAATGTTACACGTAATTTTAATACATAAGATTTTGATATAGGTAATATATAAAACAAGCATATATATATATATATATATATATATATATATGTATAAAATTGATTACTTAAGTTATTTGATCATTCATTGCATAAACTGATCGTAGATAAGAAATTTATTTATGTATCTCATACTTTCTCTATTTTTTGATCTTTTTCAATAGTAAATTGATAATTATTTTCTCAAATTAAAAATATTATGATGTGTAAAATATGTATGTGTACATTTTACATATCTTAATTATTCATTGAAGTTAATTTTCGTTGTAATAAAGCTATTACCAAATATTATTTTTTAGGTACTAAATATTTGGTAAAGAAAATTTAGAAGCTTAGAAGAAATATGAATATTTATCAAAACACTTTAGCACTTTTATGAGCAGTTTTGCTTCTACGAAATATATATACATATAATCACTGCCATTCTATTCTTATAAGTGTATATAAGAGACTCCAATTCTATAAATTTGTTGACAATTCGCTTTTGTGTTGCTTTAGAGCAATTACTTTTTTTTAATTCTTCATTTTGTTCAAGAATATAATATATATTTCAATACATATCTCATGCAAATCAATGTATATAATTTATTTTCTTGTATCTTCCACTTATTGTAACAAGTTAATGTAAAATAGACTTTTATAATTCAAAATTTTATGGTTTGAGCAAATTTCTTATTTTAAATTATCTGTTTTTAAACAATAATTTATTCAATGCTTACATTTTGTATCAATTTTTTTCCGATCAGTTTTATGACTTAAATATTGAACACGTATCACATAGAATAATACGTTGGTTATATCGATGATCCGATTAATTTACTGATGCATGAAAACATGAACCGTGATATTCATCTGTATTATCCGTATTGGTACATGCACCACCTAGTATATATTTTTTTGTTGCATATAACATACACATACTTATCTTGCAAATTTGTATGAATATTTAACAATATTCATTCAGTCATGCAAATGCGTTAGAATTATATCTTATATGCGACATATTATGTACAAATGTATATAGATATCTGAAACACGAAAAAAGATACACTTATAAATAATTTATAAGTTTCTAAAAATTATTAAATTGCTAGGATTTACAATAATTAACAATGATAATTAACCATAACAGTAAAGATGATACAATTATAAAGAAAGCAATTGAAATAAATAATTTATTATTTATAAATACAAATTTATTATTATTTAACATACAAATTTAAATCTGTAATACATATGTATGTTCTATGGAGCATATACATAAACGTGTGATTTTAAATTTAAATATCAAAGATATTTAATTTATAGCACAAAACATGTCTTATTAAAAAAATTAGTATGATTTTACATTTCATAATAACTTATAAATTTTATATGTTCTGTCTCTTCTTTTCTATCATTTGAACCACACGTGCCGATTACTATTCAATCTTGAGATATAATTTGATGCCTAAATGTAATATGCTAAATGTAATATCATATTATGTTAAATTTATAATTTAATGGTACTGATTATAAGATTACATTTGATGAGTAAAAATATCAATATTAATTATTCTTCAGAGAAATACAAAGTCATAGCTAAAAAAAGAGTTTCTTAACATTCTTCTCTTGTAACAAAGCAATTTATTATGAAAAAATAATTTTTGATTCAGCAAAATTACTTTCAATAAATAAAAATGGGATTCTGTAAATTCTACATAATAATTAATGACAATAAGATTACAGCATCATAAAGTTGCGAATTTTCCATTGTATAAAAATACTAAGCATGAGTTGTAATCAAAAGCATTGATTAAACGAGATTTAAAATAGAGATAAAATTACGAATAATTATGATTATTTGTATACATTTTTAAATATTAAATAGAAATAATAGAATAATAGAATGCTTCACATATAAAAAAATTATATGTTGTCATTAAATAATCAATTTATAATAAATCTCAAATATATGTTGAAAGGATCCTTATAATTAAAATAATTTATATTTAAATAATGTGAAATTTGAAATCAACGAATTAAATAGTTACATAAGTCTTACGCAGTATTGCGTATAGTATCTCTATATGTATCTATAATATATAGAGGTACACTTAGTATATCTAACTTGTATCTGAAATACATAAATTCGAGTATTTGTATTTGTAGCTAGATACAAAAATACTATCTGAACTGATTTTCGGATACATTTCCTCAGCAAAAGTACGATTCCATCACGTGTGTGATAACGTCACTCCTGATTAAAACTACAAATATGAGTTTGATTTGTAAAATTAATAATGCCTGGAAAATCACTTATCATAAATCATTTTAATGATGTAATTGCAAATTTTTGCAATTTCATTTTCGTTTCGCGTTTTTCATTTCGAATTTTCGCATCGTGTTATCGTGTTATAATTGGAGTAATAATGTAAGGATTAAGTATTATTAGTACCTAAAACCAAAAGTGATCAATAAATAACTTATTTAGTATGTTTTTTAATATCATCATTATATTAAAATCTAATATAAATCTAATATAATTTAAAAGTATATAATATGTATCTGAAAATATTTTTGAAATATCTGTTTCTGTATGTGTCTGTGTGTGTGTGTGTGTGTGTGTGTGTGTGTGTGTGTGTGTATATATATATATGACAAACATGTACAGAACACAGAGATCCTCGGATCTTTCTATTCTATAACGAAACAGGCTTGAAAAATTTGTCGTGCGATAAAAACGCATAAATGAAATATCACCCTAAAAATATTGAAAAAAATACTTTTCTTTTTGTGGTCTACGCGTATCACTACATAATGGTAGTATAGATCGTATAGAATGGTGTATAGATCGTTTATCTTTACTTGACTTGTAACTTGACTATCTGCGAGGACAATAGCGGTCCACTATAATTCTACACAAATACTAATGTAGATTATTTTCTGTTTGGCCAATTGGACAGCTAGACAGCTAGACAGCACCCGAGTGGGAATTTGAACAAATAACAATCTATACATCGGAGCAGCAGTCGTACGATCGTTGTGTCGATTTGAATAACGTAACCGTGACACGCAAGGCGAGACACGTAGTGCACATACACATGGCGTATTCAGACAGTGACGCTCTTTCTGCAAAAATATTGTTGACATTTGACATTAATGCTAAACAACCGTTCAATTACGAGAAATTCCAAACGCTCTGTGTCCGAATGTTTAGCGAAGATGAAGTCGAGCAGAATGAGTTGAGGGTACGAGAGATCTTTGAGTTATTTGACGCAAATGCGGACGGTGTGCTGAGCAACAAGGAACTGTATAGGTGATGTGTGCGCAACTCTTCTAGTCTTTCTAAAAATTGATTGAATTTCATGTAATTAAAAGAGGGAAGGGATAGTTTATATTGTGCATACAATTTTTAGCTCAGAAATAAGATTAAAAGATAAAAGAAGGCCAAAAGGGAGGAAAAAATAAAGAGTAAAAAAAATAAGATTACTTTTTCCTTCCAACCTCAATAACAATCTCAATAACAAATGTACACATGGAAATATTTGATTTAAAATAATTTCTTTATACTTTCTTGAATTTCTTTATACTTTTTCGTTACTATTTGTATTTTACTTATTTAATGAGATATTGAATTTTACATTAGATTATTTAATTCTAGTTAGTAATGTTTGACATTTTTTCTTGCTATTTTAGGAAAATAATTTAGATACAAAGTTATACAATATATTTACTATTTTTTTATGTTTTATTTATAGATCCAACTGGTTTATTACGAGGAGAAGAAATAAACCATAAATATTCATTTAATAAATTAAGCCTTGACATTTATAGTTATTTAAAGTTGAAATTACGTTTTACTATTATATATGTTTACTTTAATGTATTCACAAAGAAAGAGGTGTTCGAATTCCCATCTGAATGCTCTCCTATGTCATGTTATCCTTGTTCAACGTTTAGTAAGATAATGGTATCCGATGACACTCGGGTGGAAATCTGAACTCTGAATTCAAAATAAAATAACAAGTCATAATGGCATGAAAATGGCTTAAAAAATGATTACTAAGTTTTTCAATTACGATTTATTTTAAAAGATTTTTTGGGATTGAGAAAAATCGGTTTTCAAGTAATTGAATCTTTTAAATCTTATACGTGTATAAAATTAATCCTTAAAGCGATTTAAAAAAAAAAATATTTTTTTGAGATACATTTTGTCAGACGTTGCGCGGAATAGAATAGAATAGGTATTGAACGAATAGAATAGGTATCGAAATGCCAAGTACATTGTGTTCTTTTCAAGAGACCGGTTTTACTATTAGGATTCTAATTAGAATAAGAGAATCGAAATGAAATAAGCTTCCGCTATTATAGTTGGCTATTGCATAATACTTGCTGCATAATACATGCATAATACTTGTTATAATCATTTGGATTAGAAAATCAATTTTAAACTTTAAAGCCGTTTTTCTCAAAATCATGTTTACAAAATCATGGAAAAACTTCCTTGAAAAACTGGCTTGATTGATTTGAAACTTCGCACAATTATTACACTGACACTTTTTTGCATTTCCTAGACCACAATTTGTTTATATTTATCAATTATTTAATTCTTTTTTATTAAGATGCTTGAAAAAATATTGGAAATCAAAACATAATTTTTATTTAGCTTCCATTTTGTTAAATTTCAATATTTTAATCCAAATGTTGATTTAGTAATTATGTATACTTATAGAATACTGATCAAAAAGAACGATTAGAATATTTTAATTTTTCGCAGGACTGCAGCGAGGAATTTCCTGCGATTTTTATGTTATTTTTAACGAAAAAGGAGATTGAACTATTTGCTTCTAAAATTCATAAAAAAGTTTTATCTTGATCAGGTATATAATTTATTTATAAATCACTTCTAAAAATCACATTTTTAAGCCTCTGAATAAGGAAGATCTTTAATATTATATTAACATTATTATGATCCTGCTTGAATTTTTATTTATAATAGATATACAAGTTGTTTATTCTCGTTATATTTTTATTCTAGAAAAAGAAAGAAATGAAAGAATAAATTTATCAAATATATGTAAAATAGCATATATAGAGGAAAGGCCTCTATTTTTAGATACCGATTCATTTTAGGTAAATGCTAGAAGTCTGTAGACAGAATTAAAAAAAATAATAGGTCATTTTAAAGGAATTTAATAAGCTTCAACATAATGTTACATAAAATTTAGTTCAAATAATATATTTTTTAAAATTAAAGTAATGTAAAAAATGAGCAAATCACAAAGTAAAAAAATTGTTTTTATTATTATACAATAACATTTATACGTTAACAGTTTTTCATTATTATGACATAGAAGCATAGATTATTTACGTGTGTGAAGTTGGCATTTCATCTTTTGGTACTGCAAGTTTTGATAACAGTTCCATTGGCACCCGCAATAGTTCTATAGTTTCTGATAGATTTTATAAATAGTTTCTATGATTTAGCTAAAAAAAATTACACTTGAAAATTTGCGGTGCTAACTTCCGTGGCACCGCAAGATTCGAAAAAATCAATTGAAAACTATGAAATTTTATAATTCTCAGTGAACTCTACAGTTCCTGATAGGTTTTAACAATAGTTTCGATCTCTAAATAATTTTAAATAATTAAATAATTAATTTTTAAGTGTTATTTTTTTCCATCTATTGAAAAAATAATGGATTTCTTTTTACTACATCCAATATTTCGTATTTTTCTATTAATACAATTTTATTCTATCATTACATGAAGAATTTATTGCTAAATATTTACTTATTAAATAATAAACAAGGTTTAAAGGCTTATCTCAATGAAACTTGAAGACATTTAAATTTTAAAATCTTTTTTTACACTATAGGTATGATCTAATAATTTTTCACTAAATAGTTTTCAATTCAAGAGCAATAAATTCATGGTGGAACCAATAGATAGTGTTTATTAGTTTAACAGAAATGCCGCTATCTCATATTAAGCGTCTATCATAATAAGGGGCTTTCCTCTATTTATAAAAAACATATTTAAGCGATTTATCTATCCGTTTCAATTTGTCCTTATTTGTCCTTATCATATAATATGTTGCGAGACAAACTACCTCGTTTGTTTTCGTGCTTTGTTCTCGATCTAAAGCTTCTTCTAAGAAAATAAATTCTCTTCTAAGATAATAAATATGTAATTGAGTCGCAAGTAAATGTCGAAAATTACAATATCTCATTAAATAGCGTCGCATATACAGATTGACTGTATTTAATGATTTTATATTTACGACACTATTTAATAAGATGTATGTTATTATAATTTACATTGTCGAAATTCACTTGCGAAATAATAAAATCTTTATTATCTGACTTATAATTGAGGACAATATTGAAATTTGAAGACTACTGCGCGATTTATGCACTAAATATCAATATTGTTTTCAATTATTCATATTTTGTAGACTTTCATGACTGATTTTATTTGTTAAGAAAACATTCGAAACATGCTAAAAAGAAAATTTATGTATGTTTCAGTAAATTAAAAACAGATCTGGAGACACTGGTAGTGTCTCAGCTAACTACGAGCAGCGACACTGCTATAGTTATCAAAATAATGAGTCAGATAATAAATATCTTATCATTTCGCAAGTGAATTTCGAAAAAAAAAATTTATGTTTGTTTATTCATTTCTTTACAAACGACATTCAAATTTTATATAATTTTCAGCCGCCAAATCTTTCCATCTTCCTTAACACATTCTTACCCGATAATGAGGAATTATAGTTATTTTTTGTTGTTTTTTTTAATGAATAATTTATTTTAATGAATAATTCATTTTAATGTTAATGTTTTTGTTTATACTTTTTTTTTTAATCATATATTTATTTATCGTCAAGTCTATGACGAGCTTTCGTATTTTTTTATATATTTTTTTGTTCCTAATTATAATCAACAACTATATATGTGTGTAACTATATATATATATATATATATAAATTAATGTAAAATGATTTTTTAAATCATTTATTAAATTGGATTGAAAAAAAGACAAACAGAAAATTTTTATTTAGTTCGGATTTTTATTTGTACAAATAATTGGTTAAAAGCAAATAGTTTAGAGATAAAGTTTGAATTTTTTTTTTTACAATAAATAAATTCTTGTTGTAGATGTTGTATGTGGATACATACGATTATGAATCCCATCAATGTTTTGCTAGTCGTCGATGTACAGAACGATTTTATTGATGGCACGCTGGCACTTCGAAAACTAAATGACTTTGGGCAAGAGGGATTGGAAGTAGTGGAACCGATAAATCGGCTTTTGAGGGAGGGTCACTGGGACGAAGTGATATATACACAGGATTGGCATCCCGAGAATCACATCAGCTTCTTTGACAATTTGGCGATGCGCGAACTTCATCCGACATCTGAAGTATTTAAACATGCTTGCCTGGTAATAAAATAGTTCGATAAAATAATTCAAGAAAATAAAATAGTTCAATAAAATAATTTGAATAAATAAATGAAAAAATAAATTTAATATTAATGTTCTAATTTTATTATTTTTTTTTTATATTATCCATTGCTACTTTTTTATATATCATAAATTTATATAAAACTAGTTTAGCTATATATGTACAGTAAGTACAAAAAGTATTCGTACAGAGAAAATATTTTTTAAAAAAAACTTTATTTTCAAAAAGTAAATATTATTCAGCGAGAAATGAATCATCTAATTGATATCGAATCGATATAAATTCGATGATTTTAACATCAATTTGACGTCAATTCGACATTTACTTAACGATTTTTTGTTGGATAATTAACAATTATTCATAAAGAATAAAATAGACTGTATGTTTCTTAAAATTATATATACCAAAATGATGTGTATTAATTATACAAAATATATTATTCGAAAAATAAGCGAAAATTAAAAATTGTATTGTTTGAATGTTCAAAAAAAGTATTCGTACAGACGAAAAATTTAGCTTCTAAAATCAGGAATATGTGCTAATTAAGTTCATTTGTTTATATTAGAACAGAATGTATTCATTGTATAAAATTGTTAATTAATGTTTATTTTCTATATAAGGCTTTTTATTTTCAAATAAGGCTTTTTTTATAACAAATTTCCTTGTAAGAATACTTTTTGCTTTTACTGTATATAATATAAAATAGAAATGTCTAAAAATTCTTGAACATGTCCTTTTAGATAATTTTTTTATTTTTGTGTCGGTAACATTTGAATTTTTGATTTTTTTTTATGAATTAAAATAATAAATCTTATCCGAGGTAGATTTAGCCTATAATTCTATAATCCGAAATAAATGTAAGATAATCTTACAATATGAAATAGGTCACTAAGGAAACAGCGAAACCCTTCGACACTGTTGTTTTTTTGCAATCTCATGTAATACAAGTACTTTGGCCAAGACACTGTGTTAGGAACACCTGGGGCGCTGAATTGCATAAAGATCTGCTAATATTGCCTTCTTCCAAACGGGTAATAGCTCAATTTTATATAAAAGGAATAGAGAGCTGTATCATATATATATATTTCACTAAAGATTCTCTAATTAGTCTAATTTTTTAGAACTGCATAGTAACTGGTATTACATACAAAGCAATTGTATAGATGTTCTTATTACGTAAACCTCTGGCAGCTATTTCTTTCTCCCATATTTATGAATTGTTATTTAAGAAGGCATGAATTCCTACAGTTTTTTAATCTATCTATTTATAAATTATCTTATTTTTAAAATTATGTACATCTGATATTAAGAAATTATATCCTATTTAATTATTCGGAATATTCTTTCCTTTTTATATTCAAGCTATATAAAGGTCAGGATCCAGATAAAGAATCATATTCAGCATTTGAAAAAGATGCACAAAGCTCCATAAAACTTGAAGAAATATTGTTGGCCGTTGGAGCTACGCTCTTATTTGTCTGTGGACTCACCTATGATATATGCGTAAAGGAGACATGTTTGGATGGTTTGCGATTGGGTTATCCTGTAGCTGTGATTGAAGATTGCTGCCGTAGTACAAAACCCAATGAAATAACGACTGAATCGTATATTGAAAATGGCGCACTAGTGGCACGTTCTGATCGCATACTGTCCTTGGTGAACGAACACAAACATAGTCTGGTGATGGCGCATCACGCCGCAAAGAGTATAAGTAAATTAAACTTTTAAGCGAAACCTATTCATAGGTTCATTATATTATGTAAAAACATTTCTTAAAAGATAACGACTATTTTTTGTCAAATCTAACAAAATCTAAAGTTGCTTAAAATAGAAAAAACATAAAAATTATTTTGTTAATTTTTACTTCTTTTTATTCCTGTTATCAATTATTAATTCTATAAGAGAATTGAGAAGATTTTATCTAATTCTTATTTAAATATTTCAATCAAAATCAGGCTCCTCGCCCTAATGAAGTGGACTTCCGCGAAACGCATAATCTTTAAATATTTCTATTTTTATGAAGAATGAAGATAATTACAAAACATAAGATAAATTTATTTTAATTCATTTTTACATACAATGGTACATTACACTAGCAAGTTAAACTATGCTGAAATGAAAATATATATATAAACGGAAATTTAAAATTATAAACCTTCAATTTATGGTTTAATACATTATATCAAATATCATTAATAGTCTTTCATAACGATGAATACTTATAAATGATAATATAATTTATTGAAATGTCAATTTATTTAAATATACGCAAAATTAGATACGTATACTATCAAGAATATTATCGTACGTATATTATACGTATATTATCAAGAAGAAATATATAATATATTGTATTTTTTATTAAAAAAAATAATTATATTTTGTAATAAAAAATTTTTTAATTAAATTACTAAAAAGATATATTTATAAATTTTATAATTAAATTACTAAAAAGATATATTTATAAAAGATATGTTTATAAATAAATATAATTCCTCTGTTTGATTTATTATTTTTATCTGCTAAAATGCGCCTAATCACTTTTATCAATTAATAATCGTGCTGTCCTTTCGATCTTGTTTGCTGATTCGTCTTCGACCGTCAATTCGCAAATATATCTTTGCCTTGAGCTGCAATCTTCACCTCTATATGAATAAAGTTTCGATGAGGCGTTGAAAGTTAACTTCAAGCACCTACAATTTAAAATAATTTATAATTCAAATATTTAGTGTTGAGAATTAATTGTCGTGCTAAATAAAATAATATATGTACGCTATTGATATTCTATTCTATCTATGTAAAAATGTTCTATTTAAGAGCGATATCAACCTGCCATCACCAATGACGGTCTGTTTAGTGTCTTGTTGAACCGGTCTAGCACTATTGGCCCAAATCCATAAAAGCCCTGGATTTAACCCACCTGTCCAGAAATTATTGCCCTTAAATTTAGAATTTGACATTATACCCGCGATTACATCTTGGTTCTCCTCGACCGTGTTGAATTCAACCAAATGTCCACCCATACCACGACAAAGACTACCCGATGATTTCCAGTCGAAATCACGATTACTGAAGTGATAGCAATTTTGGCCCATTCTCGTGTAATTAGTAGGACAAGGTTCTAAAAAAAGCGATGACATCATAAATATAGATTAAAACTGTATTAAGTTCTTCAGTGAGAAATGACAATGGAATCGACATCGAATCGACATCGAAATCATCAAATTGACGTTGAATCGACGTCGGTTCGATTCCATTGTCATTTCTCACTGGGTTGTAAATAACAAATTTATTTCTTTCTTTCTTATAACAATTAATTTCTTTTAAACGTTAAAACGAAGAAAATATATATCTTGATTATCATCATATATATTATATATCATATATTGTATTGAAATGATTTTTTAAATCGATTTTTTTATATTGAAGAAATTTTACCTTTCATTTTATTATTTCCAGCAATAACATAGTACAATAATTCTTCTGCTCTTCTTACTCTTTTTTCTAGATAGTCTACTCTATACACCAATTTTTCAATAGCACCTGTAAATTTTTATTTAAGGTTCCTAAATCTCATTCTTTTAATTAAAAAAATATTTTTTATTACATTTTTAATAATTTTTTTATTATAAAAAATTTTTTTCTTTAATTATGTAATTGTTGCAATTATTTATAAATTATATTAAAAATTGAAATTATTAATATAAATTAATTTCTTTTCTTTTGAGTTTTTTTAAATATCTTATAAATCGTACTAAGTAGGTAAAGATCAGTTTCAGAAACGTCTCTTTTATTTGATGTGGAAATTTTAGATACTGTCAAAATCTTATCATCAATCTTCATCACTCGTGCGACACGAGAATTGTTGAACTGGTGCCTTGGAAGGGTAATCCAATTTTCGAGAATTTCTGCCCATGGACCATGATTCACCGTAACAGTCGTTAAATTCGCTGAAGATGTACAGCAAATAAAATTATATTGAATGTATTGAAAGATCTAATCGCATAATCAGATTAAAGGTGTATGTCTTATTGTATTTTTCATAATTTAATATTCTAATTTAATAATAAAAATATAAATAATATAACAGTTTGATTAATAATAATTGTAGACATCAGAAAAAAAAATTATTAAAACAGTATACACTTTTTGTATATATTTTTGTCATTATTGTTAATTGTTTTTATTTATAAGTAGATAATTATAATGACAATTTTAATCTTATTTTTAATTTTTTAATATAAATTGTTAAAATGTTGTATTTGTAATACGTACCAGATACCAAATTGACTATTGCTATTAACGTGACAAGTATAATTGAAGAATATAATTGCACAGCTATCTTTCTCATCGTTATGATTTTGAGACCAAAGAAGAATCTTGGATACAGAAATTGAAAGGCCGGCATTCACCTTCCACGAAATGTAAAGTAAACGAAATAAAGATGCTCCGTTTTTCGCTTGAATCAATGTTTGTGTATCTGACTTTCTCCTGGAAAGTTTACAGCAGCATGTTGAAATAGGAAATACCCGGATGCAAGCGAATATGTTGGAAAATTTCATTGTACACTCATGTGATATATTTAATGATGTAATATTAAAAAGAAGTAATTTTTAGATAAAGAGAATATGTATATTTAAAAATATAAATATTTGCTTTTAACAAAATTTGAATACTATTATTATTGTATTACCCAGCAAACAAGAATGGATTGCAATGAATTGAAATGGATTCAGATTTTCAAAAATATTGATTTACGAATTTAAAATGAATGCTTTTCAATCCTGAATGCATTTTTATTTATTTATAGGAATTGCATGGAGCATATCTCTATGCCTTTCAATCTAAAAATAATATTAGCTTTTTCTGCGCACAACACATTGTAAATACTGTTCAATTCAAAATTTTGAATTGGAAATGCAATTTTTCAATCCAATTGCATCTAATTGAATCTAATTGAATCCAATTGAATCCAATTAAATCCAAAAAAAGATATTCGCTATTTAAATATGCATTCAGATAGAAAAAATTTTTCAATCCATTTTAATCCATTCTCGTTTGCTAGGTAGACAAGTAAAAAACAAAGTAATTTGAAATATAGAAACAAATTCTTCTGTTTACAACTAAAATTACGATAATTTTTACAAAGAGAATTGTTCCTTTGTGTTTCATCTCATTACTTGATTCTAATTAATTCTTATTAAAGCTACTGATTTACAAAAATAATAATATAATATTTCATTAGCATAACATTTTATGCATGTAAATATTTCACGATATATATTTAGAGAAACATTTTCTTTTTAAAAACATTTACGTCGTATATGTATATTTCGGTATGTTTTGTTGCTTTCGTAATAATAATTATATAATACATGAAATTAAGGAAATTGGTACATAATGAATGTCGGAAATGGTAAAGAATTAAAATGTCATAGAATTCTCTTTTATCAACTTCATTTACAGAATTGACTGGTAACATTTAACCTTTAAATTCCAATGATGTATATACATTAAAAATTATGGACTTACTGTCACACTGCTATCATATCCAGTATATCGTTTCTTCTAATTAAATATATAGAAATTATATATGAATACTGCAAATCGGAAAAAATTGAAACAAAATAATAAATTCGATACATTAAAACACGCGCGCGAATAATTATATCTTAATATTAATTTATATATTATGATTTAAATTAACGTTTAGATTAAAATTTAATAAGCTAATTATATCTTTTTATTTTTTTACAAAAGGAATTTATGTGTTGAAAATGTAAATACCTTAACTTCTCACAAGATATTTTCTTCTTGGTACCACTCGTATATTCCACACCCAATCATACGTCACGGAAGACTGAGAAGAAAAGATTCGAGGACGATGTCGTAGACCTCTCTAGGTCACTTTCTCCCCACCTTAGAAGTCAAGTCACTTTCTTCGGCAAGTCTACCTCAGATGGGATTTGATAAGTTATTGATTATAATAACAATTTTACTAAATAGCAAAGGAATATATAAATTTTATAGCAGTATCACGAGAATATTGATGAAGAATATAAAAGTAATTTGTCATTTATCCTAACATTTCTTTAATAATAGAGGTAGTAATAAATGTAAAATTTTTGTAATAATAGATTAATTATTAAAATTTATGTAAGCCTTTCAGACTTTTGTAACTTTTTAAACTTTTCATATCTAATAATTATAGAATGTAGATTATATACAAATTTTTTATATAAAACTATTCCTCTTGATTATTATAGAAATTGATTCTTTCTCTTTCTATTAGAAAGAGAATAATTAAAGGATGCTTATAGCAAAGAAAAAAAATGTGAAAGACAAGTTCAAATAGAAATTATATTTAAAAAAATATATTTTTACGGCATTTTTATCCTGAAAAAATATATTGTTTTTCAGCAATTTTATGTCTAATGTTGTATTTTGTTATTTTTAACGAAAGTTGCGTTTCCGAATTTCAATTCCGTAAATGTTCGTTCATTTATTCGTTGTGTAATTACTTGCGAAGATCAACCTACTGACACGGTTTCCTCAGTACATTCGAATATCGGTGGTTTCAAGTGCAAACACGGAAACTTTATCTATCTCTCAATGACAGAAGCGTGTGACCAGTATTATACTTTCTCGCATTATACTTTCTGATAACATGATCATGTAACTTGTAATTTGTGTTTATATGCATTAAACTTTCACCCTTGCGGCGTATATATTAAGCTTGAATGTTTTCTTGAATATAATTTTATCAAAATAAAATATTAGCGGTTTAGAAATCTGTAATAAAACTTAAAATAATAAGCATTAGAATAATGTTTTACATGCGAAAAGAAATTATCGGTAATTATTGATTTTATTAACAAAGCAATTAAAAATATGCCGAAACTATACAATCGTAATATTTCTTGTACATTAATAATATAATTATAAAAAATATTTTATTATTTTTTTTTACGTGTTAATAGTTTACAGGTTCCTCAAACTTAGATTTACAAGAATATCAGACTTATTATATTTCAATTCACTATTTTTTTTTCTTTCTATTTTAACGTTAAAATTTTTTTATACCATATGTAACATTTTCCTATTGTTCAATTTCTAACTATTTTTAGTAATTACTTTATAAAATATCAGAGATCGATGTCGCATCACGCAAATAATGGACGTAATCTATTCAGGATAATGCGAATTGTAATTATATAATGACGCTATGTTGCGCAGATAGCACAGATATTCTGTGAACCGAACGCGGTAAGGTTGCATCGCGTTGCGATGCTTCGAAGTTCATTCAAAGAGTTTCGATATTAACGAGACTTTATTTAACTGAACTGACCAAACAGCGCTTACAACAGTCTTCCCGTCGTTATTTGTTCCATTTACAAAATAATGGATCGTTAGAAGTACACAGTGAGATTGAGTCTCTCGTTGCCAACTTGATTGTCTCCGGTTCGCGTTTCCGCCGCGACCTCGACGCTATCCACAGTCTGAAAAACGATAAATACTTCTGTTTCTATTGTGTCCTCCATCTATCTGCTCTTTAGGATTGCATGAAGTATTTGCAGGCGAACTTGGATTTAATTATTTCTCTTGCATAAGTCAATGCAATTGTACCCTTTAGGAAACGATTAATATATCGCGATACGAAACGTTATTCTCTATTTAAATTGTTTAATACAATTTAACATAATTAAAAATATTTCAATTTGAACACGACTTCAGTTGCTTAAATTGACACATTGTTTAAATTAAATTCTTTTAACAATTTGCAAAATTTCTAAAACACTTCTACAAAACGAATTCACAAAATATTAGATTTTTTTCTATATTTACTATTTAATATAGAGTAAATCAAATATTTATAGATTTATTTATTTATTTGTTGGATTTTGCAAATAAATTTATTGTAAAATAATTACTCTGTCATCGTCGTCCCAGGATAACTTTTTGATCCTCGGCAAAGCTGAACTAGCAGGCCACGCTGGCACGAGAGAATCTGGAGGATCTCCGGAATAATTGGAAGAGTCGTGAGATCCAGCATCCAGATTGGTTCTAGCACTCAAATCATTCATATTCTGCACGAGTCCACCGATATTGGGAATGGTCGAAGTTGCTGATAAAGTTGGCGGATTTGGAGCGGGCGCCACTTTATGTCGGGTGTATAATGGTAATTGTCTCGCCGAGGCTATACCTAATAAAAAACGAGACGAGAATATCTTAATGTCATAAATCTTTGACAATAGAATTCTAATTTTATGAAAACTTTGTAATTGCAAATTGCTTATAAGAAAGAAGAAAAATAATAAAAAAGAAATTTTATTTCAGTAATTGTATCGAGAAATTGTATTGAGAAATTTTTGGCAATCAGTTAGTAGATTCATAAAAAGAGAAGTTAAAGATTCAAAGTAAAGTATGTCGAGTTAAATTATGCCGAGCATGAAGAATAGAAAGCATGTGCAGCACTGCTTGACTTCTGCTGCCTATAGAAACGTACTTTTGATTGTAGTACTATACGAGCTTTCATTGGTTTCTCCGAAGACGGGATTATCGATTTCGTTACGGCTGTCGACGTTATCATTCTCGTCCTCAATATCGTGACGCCGATTCCGTGGGCCTTCCAAGCCGTCCTGAAGAACGTTAGCGCCTAGAACTTGCGGAGTAGGACTTAGAGCCGAGGGAACTGGTGATTTCTCACGATATCCAGTACTCACAGAGCTGACTGAACCACCACTTTTTGGCCTTTTGCTTAAAAAAAAGAAACATTAAACTTTCTGTCTTTCTTAATCTAATAAGAATTTCCAAATCTTCAAGTTTCTAATATTTTTATTTCTAAATTTCTTGACTAAAGAATAAAAAATGTATAAAGAAAAAAAATGTATAAAGAAAAAAAAAACAGTATTCAATACTGTTATATTTGTAAGTACTGTTCACGTACTACACTTTCAATATTATTCGATTTTTATTAAAATCCATCCAACTTATCGAGCCGAATCTTGATCCGAGTTTTAAATTGATAATCTGGACGTTTATATAACTATATATTGTGTTTATATAACTATATATTCGGCATATTTACTCACTGCTTATAAATGTAAAGGATGAGAATAAGTATGACAACTCCAAGAAGACCCAAAACTGCGCCGAAGATTGCAACTAATAACACGCTGCTACCGAGCCAAGCGGGTGCGGCTCTCGCAGCGATCGGTAATGAACCGCTGTTAGGTATGTGAACAATCACCGGAATCATGCTGGATCTAAAAATCAAATTGTAGATTAACGTCTGGAATGATCATTAGGAAACAAGTAATTGCACACAAATTTATAAATACCTTGGCGGTTTTCCGGAATCGGTAGCTACCGCTATAAATCGTGCCAAAGATCCATTAAATGAACCCAACGATCTCAGCACTAATTCTCCGTTATCTCTAATCTCGAAGGATCTAGAAAGTAATTTATATAATTATTAAAAATGATTATAATTATTTTGCCAAGAGTATGTATATGTAATTTTAATTAAATTAAAAAACTTTGTTTCTTTTGGAATTAAAATCGCAAGTATATCTTTTTACGTATATGATATTTTCAATATATAATTTTATTTCTAAATTATTAAACAATTTACTTAACAATTTTATACCTTGCATCTTGTCCTCTAAGAGATAAGTTGACTTTATCTCCCCTGTCGCCGTCAGCTGCTTCTAATTTTCCTGAAAAATTACGTGTTCTTTGAATATCAAATAGAATAGAAATTGAATCAAGATTTAAATACATAAAAGGAACTTACCTACAACGGAACCTTCTCTCGCGGAATGAGCATGAAATTCGTATCGGGAATATTGGAATCGAGGTTCCCATTCGTTTACATCTTCGACCGAAACATTCACATGTGATGTATCATTCTAAAAAAATATTTATATATTATATATTACAGTATATTACAATATAGATATTATATGTTTAAACATTATATTTTATGTATTTTATATATGTTATATACATATTATATACATACATGAGCAATAAAGGGAGCATTCCACTTAACGTTCGCAATGTTCGTGAGCATCATTCATCCTTATTGTTTTCAAATATTAAACAAGGATAAAATGATGTTCGCATTGCGAACGTTAAATGAAAGACGCCCAAAGTAATTTAACCAAATTTTATAATATTAATGAGATATACGTACATGATATCCATCTGTGACATGAATCAAGAAGCTGTGCTGAAACCGCCGCTCGTAATCTAAATTCCCTTTGAGAATTAACTCGCCAGAGTTAGTAATCGAGAATCTCTCTAAATCCTCCACTGGGCCCACGAGCCAGAATTTTAAATTCTAGAATCAGAAGCTATACTACGCTACTATATCATGATTTATCTGCATTCTTATTGTTGAAGTAAATTTTCGCATTACTTACAGAATCAGCTTTGTTGACTCCTGCCGTTAGAAGAACGCTTCCAGAAGGCGTATTCTCTGGTACGCTCGTTTGCTGATTTTTCAGCACAAATTTCACGGGTAATCGACCGCCTAGCATTCATAAAATAAATAATTAGTTTTATATAAGATTTGTTTCCAAATAGATAACGATTTGATTCGTCATCTTTTAAACATTATTTTGATATTTCATATTTGCATACAAATGTGTGTACAATTAAATTTTGGTTCCAATGAAGAATATTATTAATGGGTTTTTACAATTATTAATAGTTGCCAATTTGTTTTAATAGACAGATAATAATAATTGATAAGTAATGAATTTAAATTGTATACATGTAATAAATGTCTAGCAAATGTTACATCTAGTTAACCAAATATATATTACATATCAATAATAATAAATTACTAGAAAAAAATATATATGTATGAAAATTATAAAAGATAATAATTAAGAAAAATATTATATTTTCAAAAATTAGTCTATTAATTAATTAATTTTTTATAGATATATATAAATATATAGATATTTGTTAAATCTACACATATCACGAGATACGGCAATGTCTCCTGATATCATCTCTTTCGGTGTTACATCTATATTTTATAAATAATATTATTATTATTATATTTAAAAAATTTTAAATCTGTTAAAAATAAAAATGTGTTGATATTTCTACCTTAATAACAATAGTTGCTGGAGTCATTAATTCGTTGTCCTGCAGTGAGCGTATCATGACGATTTCAGCAGTCTCAGGATTCAAATCCAAAAAGGGTAAAATTCCGCCTCGTATAGTATACCGAACCGGTGCATTTATACCGACGTCTTGATCCACAGCTTTTATCGCAGCAGGTACTACTCTTAATGGTTTTCTCTAAAAAATAATGAATTAATTCTTATTTTGTATATTTATTTTGCGTATGTTTATTTTGCGATAGAATCGAATCTGACTGAAGTGAGTTTTTATTAAAAGAATATGAGTCAATCTTACCCCTTTTATATGACGAGGTACGGTAATCTTATACTGATCGTTCAAGAAAGCCGGATTCTGATCATCCGCATCAATAACGTTAACGTATAGTGTTGTCGTTGATGATCGTGGTGGATTACCTTGATCCTGTAACAAACGAGAATTTTTATTGTTAAATTTTGTCATTAAAAGTTAATTTTCTATTGAGAAATATATAATTATACCGAAAAAAAAGTACTCTTGGCTTTCTATTATTAGAATATGATTACAAGTGTGTGAAATAGTCAGAGACAGCATTGTTCGATGAATTCTTTGTAAGCTTCACTTGTTCACTGTTGCGTATCGATACGCATTAATCATAAATCAATTTATTCAAGACCGTTATGATCCATTTACGATGCTTTTATAATGTTGAACTCCGTCATTGGTTTATGAATTTCGTATATTATATTACATAAAAAGAGAATTTATGTTCAGAAATTTAATCAATTCAACTGTTCCCGATTTAAATCACATTTTTCCATTTGAGAGAAAAGCTTCTACGCAACAATAATTTTAAATACATATTCATTTTTATGTAACGTAATATGTCAGATTTGTAGAATAATAAAATGGAATTTGAAAACTGTCTACGACACGTTTGTTAATTTTTAATATTTAATGTTTTGAAATGTTGAACTAAAATATAAAATTGAACTTACTTGTGCACGAATATCAACGGAAAAGTTGGTGAGAGTTTCGTAATCTAGTGATTTTCTTAGTACAAGAGTGCCTTCCAAAGCATTTACGAAGACAAAGTAATCCTGTGAGTAAAAAAGATAATTATTTATGTAATAATAATATCCGAAGAATAAAAATGTTATTTGTAAGAATAATAATTAGCAATATACTAGATATATATGTATGACAAATGAAGAGATAATGCGAATTATTAGTGAAAAAATAATTTAGCCATATAAATGTTCACAAAATTCACCGAGTGAGCTCCTGGTAGGACTGTATACTGCACAGTAGAAAATGGTCCTGGTTGATCAGCATCGACAGCTCGAACTCCTTGCAGAACTCTTGTGCCAACAACAGTAACCTGGAATACTCATGCTATATTAAAATCAAAGAAATGTGCAAAATTGATATTTTTTATTTCTTGATATTATAAAAATATCAAAGATTATCTCACCTCAGAAATATTCAGCACGTAAGGCGCATTCACAAATTGCGGTGTGTTATCATTCGCATCGGTTACCCGAATGTTCACTGGTATGATGAATTCCTTTAAAAATTAATCACAATTTCTTATATATATATATATATATTTATATATAGAAATAAATGAAAAAAAAAATTTATATTTTCAACTCAAAATTTAATCTAAAATTTAATCTAAAATTTTTCATAAAATCTGGAAAAAAAATTAATATCGCATTTAAAAATATTTGTTTCATTATTTTAATATTTAACTCAATGTAATCGCTTCTAGAGATTATTCTACCGATTCTGCGATAGGTTTCTTCCCGCAGATAACGTTGATATAAACACTGGCTGGGCCCTCAATACCCTCTTTGTCGAGTGGTCTGATGAGAGTTAAATTCTTCGAATATGGCGAGAATGCGACAGGGCTGTCATGTTCTTGCAAGCTCAGCTCGATATCTCCTTGCGAGCCAGGATCACCTAGCACTCCGAGAATTCCCACAGTATCGCCGACGGGCAGATCCTCTCTGACAAAGAGATGCGCCGCGGTGGCTCCGTTCTCCAGAAAGCATCGCGTGTCTCTGTGGTCTCGAGTCACTGAAAAAGTCGAACGATTATTAACACGTATAATGAAGCAAGTCTATTGTTAAATTGTTAAAAGAAACGCTTTAATAGCGTTTCAGAAAAGAAATTGATTTCTAGAGCGAAAAAGGAAGCAAAATCATCGATAGAAGTATCGCACGTTTAAATTCTAATTTTAAATCTACTTTTTATAAGAAGCAATCTTTAGACATTACGTTTATTATGTAATAACATGTTTTGTTTTATTGATATGCAATATAAACACATATCATCCTTCCAAATATTTTTTTAACTCTTTGGTACCACTATAAGTATAGCATATCCGCGACTATTTCTTTTTTATTTTATATGCTATAACTTTTTATTAATGATAAACATATTAGGTGTTGGAATTAATTCGTAGCGTTTTACAAGTGATGGGAAGTACTTTCATTAATGTATTTTTTAATGCTCATGTGAAATAAATAACATTCTTTCATTAAAAACGCTACGAATTAATTCCAACACCTAATATATTTACTTATTATATTTCTTAATATCTGGTTTCGAAAAAAAATTATTTTAATATATATTTTTATGCACTTTTTAATATAATTACATAGCAAAATTTATATGTATGTGGTATCGAGGGGTTAAATTTTTCTTTTAAAATAGATGATAAATTAATAAAATGATATATATATTTTTTAGAACGTATTTCAGTTTGAATATATTTATGCTGTAAACTTGCACGAAAAAATTTATATTGCTTGAAAAAATGATAGAATTAGTTGAGCCGTTGGGTTACCGGAGTTTCCGTTGAAATCGTACAACCGGTTTTCAATGGGTTGTACGAAAGTGATGATGGAAGGACCGTGGGAGAATGATGTTTGGTTGGAAAAAAAATTCCGAGTGTAGCAGTATGTAAGGTAATTAATACGAATTCAAAGAAAAGGGCATTGATGAAAATATTTATACATCACGTTGTATGATTTATTTTTTATAGTAATTTAATAATAAATAATAAAAAATGTTTAAAAAAAATTCGTAAAAATAAAAAATTTTTGACAGCATTTGTATGTTTCAAAATTTTATAATTTTATCTAAGAGAAGAATGAAATAATTTCTTTAAAAAATTAAAATATTAATTTAAAAAAGAGAATATATATATAATATAAAATAAGTATTTCTAGATGTTTTGTTGTATTAAAATAATTATGAAAAAGATCTCCTTTGTCTTCTTTAAGACCATCTTATAAAATAGGTATCACATTGCCGGCATTACTGTATAACGATGTCTGTTTTATGAGATTCTTAATGGCAAGAAAACATGCACTTTTGTGCTTTTAACCGCAAATGACATGCAAGAAAGCTCTATTTTATTCATTGCTTGTAACAGTAGAAAATTATTTTAAACACGAAGACTTAGATAATGCTTATATCTTGTAATACTCATTGTTGAGTTATTAATTAGATCTGTTCTAATGACTTCAACAATCTTGCACACGGATTCCAGAAACGTTATAACGTAACGCGTTGAAATTTACCGTAAGTAACGTAATTTTATAATCTGAAGCATAGCTAAATTATTTAAAGCAAAAATACTTTTTTAATTTAAAAAGAATAAAATATTTTGTTTTAAAAATATAAAATATATACAGAATATTTACAAATAAAATTTTATATATGCAAATATTCCTAATGCTTTTTAAGAAATATTTTATATGGATAAGTAACCTTAATAAATGTCATCTTGATTTTTGAAGGCAAAAAAGTAAAGTTGCTTATTGACTTATTTATCGTATATATATATTTTTTGTTTAAAATATAAAACGTTTTACGTAAATTAGTTAACTAATTCTTTTTGAGATTATTTTTGATACCATTTTTAGATAGTAAAGAATATTATATTTATATTGATGTATTTTTAGAAAAAACATTAATAAATTAATAAAGTAAAAGAGAAAAGTAGAGAATATAAGATTTGCTATACATATGTGACATCTAACGGAGTAAAGATTATTATCATGAGTGTGTATACTATATTATTATTTTCTTACACATAATAGATGGATAAATTATGATGCATAAAGTGCATAGAAGGGGCGGTGAGGCCGTTTATCTAACAACAGTGCTTTAGCTGTTCTAATGCTGGCATAAATCACGATAGCCGCTTTTGCGCCTCGTTTGACTATCATAGCCACTGCCGGACATTCCCAAGTTTGCTTTATGCGTATTGAATGCTATAATTACGTATAACCACCATAAGCAAAATAATCGTTTTAACAAAATATACTTCTTACAACATTTATTTACAATTTAACATTTTAGTTAGAGCTTATCATTATTCTTCTTGTTTCAATAATAAACAAATAACAAATAATAAAAATAAAATAAAATCAGAAAAAATTGATTTTATAATGGTTTTTAAAATAGCGATTTCGTACGTAGCTATACGTAACGTGTATATTACGGATTTAATTGGACACTTTCATGTCATTATTACGGTAATAAGATACGTTGCAATTAGGATGAAGATAATTTTATTAAAAAATTACACTCCGAGTAATTTGTTCAACAAAGATTTGAATGAACATCGCGTCATCTCATTCTTGCCAGTTGATCGACGGAAATTCGGACGCTGGAAGGACGCGAATCGGATGCGTAGACGAATACACGTGGGCTGTTTAACGCGTATACGAGAGGGTAGATATGCGCGCTTCCCTGGAGCGGAGTTCCGGTCGCGAATTTATGGCGTATCGTCGGCGGCGCAGCGTTACGGCGATGGCCTTTCGTAAACTCCTTTTCTAGCATAGATGAGGACTTCTCGCTAGCAAAAGCGAGTGCACGTTTGATGGTGCGCGAAAAGATTAATACAAGTCTTATAAGTCGATTTATGTAAATTGCGTTTTTTATGCAATTTGCGTGAAAAAGCGAATGTAAAAATTAAATAAAGATAAAAATGAAATAGGTGACATAACGTAAAATCTATTTTAGATAGCTGCATACTTAAAGAAAATTTATAAGTTGTAAACATGAATTTCGAATCTCGAATTTTTTATGCCAATTCATTCATTCAATTATTACATTGACCTTCTTTAAGATGTAGAAAAAGGATAACGAGTTGTTGAACTATAATTACTTTTTAATTTTATTTGTTCAAAATTCTATTTTATCTATTTAATAATAAAACAATATAATATATTATAGGACCGTATATGTGTGATAACACAAACTATCAAAGTCTTAAACAGTCTATCTGGATCGTAAATGCTTGTGTGATTCTTATGTGAATTTATATACTACGTATGTAATCCCCAGAAACGCGCGCCGAAATGATTTTTCGGTCTTGAAAACGCTAACTCTATTAAACTACCGTAGTAATATCACGAGTTAAATTGGCTAGCAATTTAACAAATTTTTAATAGTAAAATATTTTTATCTCGGAAACTATATTGCATTTGATAAAAAAGATTAAAGTTTATGAATTTAATAAAATTCCCTTAAAAGATTTTTCAAAACTTTTTCTTAAAAGTCTTATGGGAACATAACAAAGAGGAAGAGTGGTTTGATACAGGAAGACTTACGTTGTCCGACATGCGGTTGCAGCATGCAGCAGAGGAGCAGCAAGATCCTCAATACGTTTTGTCCCATGGCAATTCAAGATCATCGTCCACCGATTCCGCCGACAGATGCATCTGCAAGAAAAACAGAAAGAAAGTCAATGGCGGAAAGGGATAAGGGATAAGGGATGTTGAGCAATGTAGCACGTCACTTTTGTGCACAACTGAGTTTCCTTTAATTTTCTCAAGAGTCATGGGAACGAAATTTCCCAGAAGATATTTCGATTTATCGTATCTGCGGAAATAACGTTTCCTGCGTTCGAAATGTCTTACATATCCAGTTTCTCGGAATCATTACGAAGATTTTATTGCTTTGAGCCAAGGAGGATTTCATCTTGTGAGAAAATGTTGTCTTAGATATATATAACTTTCGTAAAATTTTATAATTATAGAAATATATAAAATATAAATTTGATTGATAATACAATTATGTAACCCAATTAAAAATTGCAATAATTTATTTAGTAATTAAATAATTTTTAATAAGTTTATTGATCAATCTACAGTTGATATTTATATTATCTAATTTTCTCTTAATAATGCAACCGTGACATAATAATGGGAAAGTATAAAAATATTACATAAGTTGTAATAAGGCTATAACTATGTCCACATTTTTTATTACATTATTTTCTATTCTAGTTTCTTCTATTTTATATATATTTGTAATGATATAGATTTTTAAGTTCAAGTTTAAACTTAATGATTAAAAGTTAATTTAAAGTTTTCAGTTTTTGGGAAAAAATATTACGTTTTGTAAGAAAATAATAATACAGAATTAAAAAATAATTATATGGAATCATACATGTAACTTCGATCAAAGTAAAATTCGTAAAATTGAAAGTACATATTACACAAAATATAGGATATTCATAGATACTTTTTGGATTTCTTGATGTTATTGATGGGAAGATAATCACGATATTTAAAAAAAAAACATATTTTATAAATATTGCTCTAGAAGAATTTGTGCGAGATGTTCCATTAACATTTTAGTTCTCGACAAAATGACGCAAGAACATGCTATGAAAGGTAAGAACTTTGCTGTTAACATGCAATCGAATTTGTCATCGTTAGCAGACGAATGTAAGAACATAAGTACTGAGTGAACGACCACTTCGTCGACGAAACGCGTTTGCAATAGCGAGCATAACGCGTGGTTAGAAAGCATGCAGAGAAACTCTTTTATTACGTGGAACTATGGCTATGTAGGACTGCGTCTCATCAGGGCTAGGATGACTCGTGCGAATTATCGCCGGAGGCAGATCTTAACACCTTGCACTTTCCCCTTCCGTACAAATAGCGCATTTCTTTCGTGACGTCATGTCGGGAAGTTGATGACCATTTTAAGCATTTGAAATACTAAAGTTTTAACACGATGTTTCTCTTTATAATTGAGTGGCAAGAATGGAAGATTTCTTCAAGCTTGTTAGTGCGAGAAAGTTTGCCTTTACGTTTTCCCATTTATGATATTATACTTGGTGGTTGAATGGACTGATTGTATATAGACAAATATTCATTACTTAAATGCAAATTTTAACTCTATAATCATAGAATATTATACTAATAAGGGATAGTAAAGATATTGGAAAGTAAAAGGATGTAAAGTGTTTTATAATGTTATCTAACAATTTAATTTTATATGCAAGAAAAATAAATTATCGTTTAATCATATTTCACATGTATGTTTTTCACATTTTGTATATTTATATTTCAGTTCCAAATAATATTTAATTTTAAGTATAATTTAATACTTAATTTTCAATACACCATAATAATTGTTTATTATATCACTATAAATATTATCATAAATACAGTTTATTTTGAGAAAAACTGTTCAGTTTTAAAAAATATTTAAATTTTTGAATATAATAAAAACATCAAATATTGTACAAATAATATTTTCGTACACATTTTTCTCTTTTTTTACATTTATATCCACATTTACAGAATATCTCTAATAATCTAAAGTTAAATTTATATAATATTTATTATTATTTATCTTTTATTTATTATTTGTAAATTTACATTTATTTGTTTTATTTTTAAATTGCTTTTTATTCTCGTTTAAAATATACTGCATAATTGTTTGTTCCGTTGCACTCTGTGTGTAGGATTTTAACGTAACACAATGACGGAAATAAAAATAATTTTTAAAATGCAAAAAATGTAGCATATTAAAATAAGTAAAATAAGTAAAAAAGTTACTTTGAAAATGCCTGCAAACAAGGAAATTTATACGGAAAATAGCCGGATACTTCGGTTATATGGGGCGCAGTACTGCTTAAATTCACGAACCGTAAATTGAAACGCAACACGATGGGCAACCGGCGTAAAGGCCTCCGGCCTCTGTTTCACCGGATAACTGTATAAAAATATTATGGGTATCCGTATTGGGAAATTGACGATTCAAGTGATCTAAAATTTCGTGTTGATTACTTTATTTTATCAAAGTTTATAATTAATTACTTTGTTATTACAAAATTAACAATCGTACGTGTTCAATGAATGTACTTTATTTAAAATATATTTGACTCTTAAAAATAATATTTAAATATTAATATATTACAATTGTGCTCAATTGTGTTATATCATACCTTTTGTCATTAAAACGTGCAATAAATATGAAAGCAAAAGTTATACAAGATTTTTTACTTTTATAAAAGCTTGTATGCTTTTTACTATTTTCATATTTGTTAAAGTATATAATTATTAAATTTAAAAAAAATAGAATGGGTCTATTCAAATAATTTTAATTTATTATATAACAAATAACATTTTATTTTATTAATTATTATAATTTATTTTTGATTACTCTACAGTGAGAGACATAACAGAGACTTACCACAAAATATACTCGGAAAAAACTTGCAGGTTCATGTATTTATGTTCTTCATTATTTGCTAAGATAGGAGATTTCTCTCACATCACTAGTTGTTTATTGATAACATAAATCTCATTGAGTGTTCATCTCTTGATCCACTATTCACTTAGCCACCGCCCTTTACAATAAAAAGTACATAGGACTACGAATCATACCCTTAGTAATCCTTATTGATCGGCGTCGCTAGACGGTTTTATAATTCACGTCTTTTCGTACGTATAACGAACATAAGCATGATGAATTGTCGAATTTTATTGTAAATATATGAATCAACTAAATTTTATTCAAGTAAATCTTTTTTTTATAAAAAATTGCCAATTTTGTCATATCTTCAAATAAAATTCACATTTTACTTTAATGTTCATATATAATAATTTGATTCGATTTTTAAAAGATCATTATTTATTCAGAATCTCTTTTATTCTCCAAATCCCTTTTTTCTTTAAAAATTCTTATTTCATTATTATCTTAGATATATTTTATTTTGTTTCATTTATTTTTGATGTTTCATCTTTCTGATCTAGTATACACTGTACATCGCACTTAACACTCCGTGCACTATCATGATCGATGTGGATCAAACTCGGTTACGACTACCGTGCTGTAGGGCTGTAGAACTCTTTACTACAAAACGGAGCCGTTGTGCAAAGCGGCTGGAGTGGCACTCGGCTGGCTCCCTATTGTCAGGAAGGGGGGACTGCGACGACCAACAGAAACGTACCTGAATCGTACCATGAACAGGTGTTTGCTTTCATGTACGATGGGGGAATAATGGACGCGACGCATATGCGTGTGCTCGAGTAAGTGTGCACATAACTGACCTTCTATCTTTGAGGCCCTTTGGAGACTTGCGTCGTCTTATTGAAGACGTGTGTGTGTGTGTGTGTGTGTGTGTGTAAGGATTTCCGGTCTTCGAGTCCCCCGGAGAAAACTTTAGAAACAAAGAGGTACAAAGCTATAAGAATTACAACTAAACAATTAGACGAAGAATAAAAGAATGTAATAATAATTAAAAATTAGCTATATATATATTGAGGGGGGGAGAGAGAAAGAGAGAGAGAGAGAGAGAGAGAGAGAGAGAGAGGAGATTTTTTAGTAAAACTTGTAAAAAAAGATAGATTTCTGACAAGTAACTGACGAATTTATAGGAGAAAGGTAGAAATTTAAATAAACAAAGAAAGTTTTCACCTAAAAACGGTATTATTATTGTTTTCGTTTGTCATGCACCATTTCAGCGACGATAATACTTTAGAGGCAGTATCATCAGAACGAAGCAACTACATTTTGTCTTTTTTGCAATTTTCTCTAACGAAGCAAAAACGAACATCTCTATAGGATTTTTTTTCTTAGTTTATCGATCTACATATTTCCAAAGTTTAGATATTTAAATTCGGGATACTCTATATATGCAGAGTGCGGCTTCTTACAATGTTTGTAAGTTATAGAATGTTCAAATAGAAATTGCTGTCATAAAAATTAATATAAAGCAGTAAAATTGACATTACGATCTAATAAATTATTTCTCGGTTTTCTTTGTTTTGTAGCTCTGCTTTCTAATACTTTATTTTTCATTAAGTACTTATTATGTCAAGATATAATATTGAGTGATTTATATTTTATTATCAGAAAAACAGTAGATGAAATGAGTGGAATGCCTGAAAATATTATTATCTGAAGGACATAACAATCTGAATAACAATCTGAATAAAAATTGTCGTACAATATATGCGAAGATGGGATTAAGCAAATCATACTGTTATTAGAAAGACTGTAAAGCTGTCTCCCTCAAGAGCTTACTATGTATCATATTTTCTAAGAAAATATTTTTATCATAACATTATCTATAAATAGTGGAAATTGTTGAGCAAATAAGAAAAAAATAACTTCGTATTTTAAGCAGCATGATAATAATAATTTTGATAATTTCATCTTAAAAATATGAATTAATAGCAGCTATATCTAATAGAAGCTAGTAGTATTTTATGAATAATAATTCAAATTGGAGTTCTCTAAGAGATTTTACAAAGATTTTATATTAAGTCTCTTCTTCTTATCTCTTTAACTTTAATCACGTAATGAACATGATAATGTATAAGATTGTATGAGTACAGCGAACTGTAATAATGAGTAACAAATCACATAAAAATGACTAACAATTACGTAAGCGCGCAATTTTTTTCGGCAATACATATAGCGTCTCGTTCTCCTTGGCAGCTCGTGAGATTTAATGTCGTGAGAAGTGGTTGAGGGCAAGTGGAACGAGACTTGCGATTCGCTTATGACATCGTGACGATGTCCTCGCGGATCATCGGTCTGTGAAATTGCGGGAGTATCTTTTCGTTCCTCTCCGTACCCCTCATGGGAAAGATAACTTTTATTATGCACGGTTCTTGCAGTTAATAAACATTAGCTTGTCTTAAGTTCTTTCCACTTTGAACCAGTTTCTGCTATTGTTCGTGATTTACGCAGAATAACTCGCTAACGGTGTGTTCATTGACCGACACAATCGAGACATGCAATTTATTAGGCCTTTTCGAAAGTGCTCAATTATTGTAAACGTTCTCAAATGCCATTATTGCTCAAATAGAGATTTATGATCACTTTTTATTAGATTTTATAAAACAGTCATGCTATTTGATTGTTAAAAAAAAGTCTATTACCCTCGAAGATTTTATTAATATCTATTCTTGAAAAAAAATAATGTTATATATATATTTCCTCTTTATTACACTTTTTATTAGATAATTTTTTAAAATATTTTCCGTGTTAATATTCTAAAAATTTTAAAATAATATACTTGCCATGCGTTAAAAACTTGATATATTTTCTTGATATATTTCAAGAAAATATTTGGACAGAAATTGTTAACATTATTGATAAATTAAAATCTACTTTTATAATTCTTCCAAACGATATATAAGTACATCGCGATATTGTATTGTATGTACATGAGTCAAAGAAGACATATTGTTTCCCACGCGATCGCGTGGTAACTTTGAAGAGAGTTTGTTCATCCTTGACTAAACGGTATATCTGCAGAGTATTCGCTTTTTCTAAAATAATTTAGCAATGAATTTTAGTCATTTTAATTTTGGTATTTATTTACATGTATGCACGATTTTATATATATTTTAATAAAATAAAAAACATTTTCTTTAAAATAAAGATGCTGTAATTTCCTAAAAGAAGCAAAGTATTTATTGTAGACAAGTATAATATTAAACGTAACAATTACAGAATGTATCTTTTTTTTCTTTCAATACACAGTTTATATAAGATAATAATACATTAACACAGCCATTTATTGACAATTAAAATATTTCACAAAATAACAAAGCTTTTTGGCCATCGTACAAATGCCTGCTATATTGTCTAAAAAAGCGCCGGAAGAATTTTATCACACATTTAAAATTATGAAACGTCTGACATTACGACACATATATGTACCTAATTCCTACATACGTATTTCTATGGATTTATACCACTAACGGCAATTAAAAGCCTTTGAGATAAGCGTGCATAGTGATCGATTAGCATCACGCGGAATCACGGATACACGGCTTAACACGGAAGAGTGGGTCTGATCGTCATCCTTTCGTATCCCTCACATTACCGGTGTTCCATTCCATTGTATAAGAGCATCCTGCCACCTTTGGTGCAGCGTGGAACAATAAGTGGAAGAGGTGATACTTTGAATTCTATACTGTTTACAAGGAACGCTCAAGTGATCTCGGAGATATCGCATTTTGTAATTGAGAAAACAATAGCAATCTTAAATCTTTTCCTCGCACTAAAAAGCTTTTAAAAAATTAATGGTAGAAGTCAAGAACTTTTCAAATTAAACTGTTGTATCAAGCATGAAATATATAGGGATTCAGTATAATCTAAAATTATTCATTAAAGCATAGGATATATGTTTTTATACGTAGAATTAATTAAATATAAAATTCTCGTAAAATTAAGAAAAGTAAATTTTATATTTTATACTATTATTATTTATTAAATAATACTAACTTGGATCGAATAAGTTTCTCTAACGGTGTCGCGGCGATATCCGCGGTTTCCATTGTTGCAGCATCTGATCCCCCGGAAGTTTCATTTGCCCTGGTATCCACCGTCAACGTAGCGTGACTGCCACCGCAAGTGAAATATTGAACCTCAAATCTTTTAACATATACAGAATGGGTGATATTTCTTTGTGACTATCCAAGAAAAAATCAGATGCTGTTTATGTACTTGTGTTTAAATGTTAAGAATAAATTCTGAATTACGTTCACATATATTTTCTTTATGCATATAATTTATATAACAGCTCCTTTTTTTATTATAAATTGCATATCTAATTATTTTTATGTAGAGATTTTAGACATATAGAATATATAATATTTTACACATATAGAATAGATTTTTTTTTCAGAATCATAGATTTGTAATAAAATATAAAAAAATAATTATTATATATATTTAACAATTATTATCATGTCAAAAACGAAATATAATTAGTACGAAATATAATTATATAGTGATGATTGCACCGACAAATTAATCAATTATCATTAAAATAAAAAATAAAGATAAATAAAATTAATAAAAATCATTAAAAGTAATTAAATTATATAATATATACCGTCGTTCTGCGTGATAATTTCTCAGCAATTCTCGATTAGCGTTGAAGAGTACGCCGTGATGACCGAGACAAAGGGTTACCCATATCGGTAGACTGGGTGTCTTCAATCGAGAACCCGGTTGCTTGCCTATATTGCTATCACTTTCGTGTACTAAGAATCCCACTTCGCTTCTCATGAGGACGCCCCACTGCGGTACAGCCTTTGAATTAATTATAATAAATTAACATTGAATAAATAATCGTCTTTTTAAAATTAAGCTAATTTAAAGTATACTAAAAGAAACAATCTATTTTCGATACATATTAATAATTTTTTTTGCAAATCATCTATGATATGTACAAAAATTTCATGTCAATCTCGATACATTTCATAAAAAAAGGTTATAATATATACAATACATTACAATAAAACATAATTATAAATATGTAAATTTGCGAAATGTCAAAGAAGTAAATTATTATAGACTTACATATGTATTTTCATCACCAACGTGAAGCACTCCATTATGAAGATGTGGTGAAGCACGTCCAGTTAAAATGAAGATGATAATACTGATCGGACCTTCTTCCGAACATCCACCGAGAATAGATGCCTTTGGATCTTCTAAATCGTTTCGAATTCTGAAATATGCATTTAAATATATTAATCAAAATAACTTGTATTTGATTAATACTTGATTTGTGTCTAATTGAAGCAATTCTTTATCAGTTTTAACTTGAAATAAATTGAGAAAAAATGCAGACGAAAATATCTTACTTTGAGAGGCCTCTCGAAAGCACCGCGCTATATAAAAGTAGCTTCGCGCCAGGTCCGCCTTCGTCGTGAAACTGAAGGTGTGAAAATAAAGATTATGACAAAACTTTAATTAATTCTAAATAAAATAATTTTATATTTTATAGACGTTGTTGAGAAAGAATTAATTTTTTAATGATGATAAAATGTAACTAAGATTTAAATTTGATACAGAAACTATCACACACACACACACACACACACACACACACACACACACATATATATGAGTCCTTAATTTACAACGTCTGATAGCATGTATATCATGTCTAACGTTTAATTTGTCAAGTACTGTAGCTTCCTTACTCACCAAGTACAAGTACCTCTTAATAAAGATCTCAAGATCCTCCAAGGAATTGAACTCGAAAAGGTGTAGCTAGAATACAAAGCAACCTTTCACAAGGAATGTACTTAATTCTGATAACGTCATAAAAAATGAAGTGTCAATTATATAGATGAAGATGTATCACGCAACCTTGAGATTATTCTCTAACATACTTGACAAAATACCAACGCTATAATTTGAGACATTCTGTTCTGTCGTAAATTAATTTACGACATTAATTAAACGAGAAAGTTTAGATTTTACTGCTCTACTCATTGCGTTAATGTGATAGAAAGAGAATGGATGCGTTAGTGCATAATTAAATTGTTTTACTGAACGAGAATGTTAATCTCATGTCATTCATTTAATACAAAAAATATATTGTTTATAATTAAACAATTAAGAAAAATATTAAAATTGAAATGATTAATAAGCGATTCTTTTTTATATCTATTTAACTTATGAATGTGGAAGATTACAAAAAACAGAAACATACAGTTTCTGTTAATCCATCTTGAAAATATTGTACACTGTGTTGAAGATATGGTGTATCCTGCGGTAGAGCTACTATGGCTTTTGGCACGATGCTGCTGACGACATTTGGACATGTAGACACAGAGAAACCACCTGCACAACGCCAGATAATTTCTGATATTGCAGAAGTCAACACTTCAATCTGTCGATCGTATGAAGGTTTTAGCAAACTGTAATTAAAAAAAAATTTCTTTTTAATAAAGTAATACGATTTTGTATAATTACACTTAATAATATTTTAATACTTGTTTTTTTTTTATTAATGTGTTATTCAAAGTTATTTAAAGATATAGAAACTTTTTTTTGTAATTTGATTAAATTTATAAACATATTTAGAATATATTTAAAAAAATATTCAATAGTCAAATTTAGTATAAAATAATAAATATTAATAAAAAAAATATTTGAATAATATTTTAATAATATCAATAATCCTTATTAATTATTACGAAGTATTAACATTTTTATAGTAATAAATATGCTTGTAATAATAAATTCTGTAATAATATTTGTTAATAATTATTTAATATTCTTAATTTGTTAGTTTAATATTTATTGCCACATTCTTGATAAAGATTTTATCTGCATACACAACAATAAAATAATATATATGGTATTTACGTAAAAGCACTTACATTTCGGGACCTACGTCTTGTCTGTCACACTTGAACAAAAAATGCTTCAGCATAACAGCTTGCACTGCGGTGACGAGACCTCTCGTTGTGTTTCTGGGCGTTCTCAATCCAAATGCTAAACTTTGTCCATATGGTCGTAAGGTCAGCCCGGTCCTTGCCCATTCGACCTTAGGTGGGGTTGCACAAGAACCAAAGACCATTTTCCTTAAAGCCTACAGCAAGAAAATATTAATACAACGATTAATTTTTAGAAATTAAATTTTAAAAAATAACATGAATTTGTAAAACTTTTTTTATTGTATTTATAATAATAAAAATTAAATAATACAAATTATATACAAAATTACCATGCATGTTTCTTCTTCGATGGGTTGTCCACCAATTACGGGTGTTTTTGGTAGGGCTCTTGTATTACGTGGATAAAGTATTCTTTCTGAAACACCAAAATCCAAAAAATATTAGTATTATAAAATAAAGCAGCGTTCGAAACTAAATGTCTATTTACACCTGGATAGAGTTCGTCGGGTTCGGCCATAAGAGCAGCATATCGGGCTGCTCGAGTCGACAATAACATCTTCGAAATATTAATGCTATGATATTAAGAGTATTGAAAGTATCAGTACTTATTTTATAATATTATATTACATTTACGAAAACAAATTTTATTGTATATTATATGCAAATACTAATTTGATTTTATGTAAATGTTTCATGTATAGATATTTTTTCTTATATTCTTTAATGTTAGTTTTTTAAAATGTAACACGAATATGTCTTTATGCAATTAATAATTTTGTTTATCGTAATCGTTATTTTATTGTTCAACAATGCTACTTTTCTATTTTTCTCAATATACGCGGCACGAGTATTAAAGTGTAAGAAATGAGTTCGCTGATGAGTTTCTCAGGTGATTCCGCAATTGTCACCCAATGGTACTACGCCGGCAGAATATCAGATATCAATTGAAATCGTGCCGGAATCCGCACGTTCCTTTATATAGGATCTGATATGCAGCGCTTATGCGTGCAGGCATCTCGCGAAATACGTCGCGCCGAGGCATTCAGACCAATCGTGCACGGAAGGTGTCAATTTGAACGTCCGAAAAGAGACACGCTAGTTGGGAACGATAGATATGCCCTACTAATGTCTATTTACCATGCCGCATTTCGAGCTCGAATTTGAGTGCAGGTGAGTATGGTCATTGGCGTAACTAAATTATCTAAATATTTGTCATTAAAAAAGAAAAAACGAAAAGAGAGATAATACAAAAGAGAAAGAAAAAATAAAGGAACATAGAATGTAGATAGAAAAAATAAAAGAAAAGAAAAAGGAAGATGTGAGAAAAGAAATAAACAAAATAATAAATAAAGAGAGGAATAAAAAAAAGACAAAAGTAGGAAAAAGAAGAAACATAGAGCAAAAAAAAAAGAAAGATCAAAAAAGAAAAAATAAAGTTTATAGAATTTTTTTTATTACTAAGTCAAGCTTGTTACATTTATTTATCATATTATAGACATAGAATAAAACATATGCTGTGTCTGTGATTATTTTATCTTTTTAAATATGCATCGTTGCATGTTAACATATTAAAGTTATAATGAAGTTTATAGAGATGAAGAATAAAATCAAGATTAGCAAAGAGTAAAGGATCATTTAAAGTTTTAATATCGGATGAATGAGAGATAATTAAAAGATTAGTTACGCCGTTGCATGTACAATAATAGTGCTAGATGTAACAATGGGTAAGGTTATCTAAGTTTCTGTATTTTCCGTGTTTCTATTAGCGAATGTTTTAGGAGACGATGAAGTTTAACACTGTTTATACATATACGCGATGTGTATACACTTGAGTCTTTAGACTTCTCGCGTGTACGTTAGATATAATGGCGGAAAGCACACAGGGGATAGAAGATAGAAGTAAATTTGGGGGGTATGGTTCTTGTTTTCTCAGAACAGTTTAGATGAGCTGATCGATTATTATGGCAGAACCTTGACGGAACCTGACAGAAAACTAATCAAGGAATGTGTGAGAATGCTACTTGTACGAAGCTTTCAATCAAATTAGTTGCATATATTATATTTCAAGTAAAGTACTTTAAAATAAGGTGCTTTAAGATAGAGTTTTACACAAGCAGTAGCTACATAAAGGCGTAATTGTTATTTTGATATTCGTATACGTGATTAAAGAAAAGATAATATCTAGAAGAGAAAACAAAAATGCGTTGAGATATTTATTTGCATAGATTAAAATAATTATAAAAATAATTTATAAAATTTTCTATTTGAAAAATTTATAATGTGGTGTAAATTCCAGAAAAATAAATTATATGAGTTATTCCATATTCTTCACATTTTTTAAAGAAAATTCTCTTTTAATAATTTACATTTTTATTTTGCATTCTTTTTAGACTCCAATTATTCTTCTACATTTTTAACTTCTTTTGAGATCCTTGTTATTTAATCTAGTTAAACTACATATTTAAAATTTTGTCTGATTAAAATTTATAATTCTGTTTGATTAAAATTTATATCATTATAAATTGTTTTTAGATCGAAAATTATTATCATATTATTTTGAAAGGAGGGAATTTTGGAATTTTATTTTTCCATTAGCATTAATAAAATAAAAATTCTTCGCGTGCAAGCATATGCGTGTTTCAAAAACTGTTCTGATTTTATTTTCTTGATTTTATAGATAGACATCATAAAAGCATAGCCCGACTGAATATTGAGATCGTAAGGCAATGGAAGCTGCCATAATCAGCCATTTCAGATTCGACGAAAACATATATATCATTCTGCACGGCTTTTTGACTACTTCATAGTTTGAAAGCAATCGCGTGTTCGCGTGCAATCAAGATATCGGATTACGAATTCGCGCCGGAACGGCCATCTGCATTTGGCGATTGCATACCCCGATATATCGCGTCCCTAATTTACATTTGCGAGGTGCCTCTCAAGGAGGTGTATCTATCGATTTATTCGACCGTTTATATTCCTGCAGTGTACATACACGCTTTTGTACGTTCCACAAAATTATACCTAGTTCATCTTTACCCGGTGTTCTATTTTCTTAACAAGGCATGAGCTCGCGTTAAAGGTAAAGCCAAATGTAACATGAATGTTATAACAAATATCCAAATTACATTTAAATGAAAGCTTTTAGGATAAATAAATAATAATAAAAACTAATATTAATGAGAATTTTTAATCATTTATTCAGCTGAGTTATTTTTTATAATAAATGTTCTTCTGAGATTAATAGAATTTTTATTGCTTTTAACAGTAACTGAAAGATTTTCTTATGAAGTTATTGTAAAGCATAATAAGATTTATACTTAATACAATTTAATATATACTTATTAATTTTTTCATAACATGTATTATTAAAACAATGTGTGTTGTTTTATGGTGCTCTTTGTAGAATTTTTAATGTAATATTTATAGCAATATGAAACGAGGAGAGTAAATAATATAAATATTATTTTATATAAAATTAAAGATATGATATTAAAAATAAAACATACAATTTATTTCATTTATCTCATATAAATTCAAGATGC